AGTTATTTGTACGAGTGGAGGTGCCGCTAAGCATACTGACAATGGAGCCGAAAAAGAGCCTCGTTCTCGCTCGAAGATTTCTTCGTGAAGTCCGCCAGGCCCATTTAGGAAACGAAAAAAAAACATCATCATCATCATCATCGTCGTCGTCGGCGTCAGCATTGCATTCTCACCCTACATCAGGATGTAGGCCACAGATAAACACTTTTCACTTTTCCCTATCCTGGCTTGCCTCTTGATATTATTCCATATGATCCCACTTTTCTGTTTTACATGATTCATCAAAATCATTATCAAGTGCCAGATCTGCGACAGACATCGGCAATGATTGTTTTCCATTCTTTCTTTTGCTCAAATGTAAAAAGAAAAAGAGCTGTATTATCGTGATCTTTTCTGGTACCTGTCTATTTAGGCTCCCTAAGAAGGTTGCTTTGGGTCTATCCCTCTCTGGTTTGCCTTCAATATTGCCAGTGAGAGCTAGATGCTCAAAGCAGCATGCTTTTATATTAAGCTTCCTACTAATGTCTTCTTGGACGAGAGGCTGAGAACACTAGTGTATACCAATGAACACCAAGGAGTATATTGGGGATGTTGTCGACCTGTGTAGTTCGCGGTACATTTTTTAAAGTGTAGATAAATGGTGAAATTTGAACTTTGAAAAGAAAATAGACAGGGCTCTGTCCAGTTGCACATGTTGTACCTGTTCTATATTCTCTGTATCTTGCATCACTGCAGTTGCTCTATTTCTTTCCAGATTGGCGAGACGCCATTTTTCGTTGCCCTGGACCATGTCTACAAGAAAGTTGTGGTAGCTGTCAGAGGCACACTGTCTCTTCAGGTACGGATTTGTGTTGTGTTTGTTTGTTTGTGTGTAAGTGTGTGTGTATGTTTGTGTGTTGGTGTATATATATATTATTTGACCCTTACAGCCTTTGCCGCTGGGTCTAGAGTACTCGTGCACTTAAACTCTTTGATGTAAAATTCCTACATTCCATTTCGCACTGCAATGTGGGTTGCGCACTTGGAAGGTGAATAAGGGTTATGTGAGAGAGAACTGTAAGCTTCCCGAGAATCCGAGAATGTTTCTGAGAATTATAGGGTCTGCTCAAGTAACAACGTAGATTATCAAGTGCTGTTGAGTGGGATATGCGCTGCAAATGCTGCTACTTGTTCATATTAACTTGTGGGGTGAGCAGAGAGCAGGAGATCTTCAGACAAAGACCTCCCTTCAAACAAAGGTTTCAACCCTACCTACCTGATACTCGAAGGTGGCTGGGCTTCACCCATGTCATTACGGCTGAGTGATCTCCCTTTGTTGCTAAATTACAATCACATGCCATAGAATAGAACGATTGTTAACGAGGTTTATTTTGGTCTAAAATGAACTGTTTGATGACAATAATAATAGTAATAATAAAGGTAATAACGTCAACCAACAACAATGATAATTATTGAAATAATAATAACTTTAAAAATAATAATAATGATAATAATAATGATAATAATAGGCCTACTAATAATACTACATTATAATGATAATATAATAACTGCGTTTAGAGAGTGCATGTTCATGCTCAAAAGCTTGCTCTCTGTGCTTTACAACTATTGTGATACTTATGATACTTAATTTTGCTTCTTATGATCATCTCCCCAGGATGTTTTGACTGACTTGAAGGCTGAGCCAGAAACTCTACCCATCAACACGCCACGAGACGATTGGCAGGGACATAAGGTGAGACTTGCGATTCAATATTTTATTCTGTCATGCTTTCCTGTGACCTTCCAAGATCCGTTTCTCTTTTAAATGTAGTTGTTTATACACCTCGATTGGCACAGTTTAGATCATTTAGGTGGTGGTCTTTGACCCTCCTCCCTGTTTTGAGACGGATACAACATTCCAGCAGAAAAACTGAGAGATACTCAATAAAAATCATCCCCATCCGGGAATCATACTCAGGTCTTTTGCGTGTGATGGCAAAGCAGCTAACTGCCACACCACAGACGCAGTCCAAGATCCATCTCTTCTGCCTTCCAAAAAGAACTTCATAGAATTGCTTCTGTCCTGCCTACCTGAACATTTCGAGGGTTAATTCACTCCAGCTCATCATCTCACCTTTCCACAGAACTTCAGAGAGTTAATCCTTTATCTATCCTTTTAAAAAGCGCAAAAGAATTAATTCTCACCTTGCTACCTGAAAGGTTCTAGGGATTAATTCTCTCCTGCCTTTCCAAACTCTTAAAGGAATTAATCTTCTTAAGGATAATCTTATATTGCATTTCCTTAGTTAATTTTGACGAACCTTCTAGGACTTAATCCTGCCTTATCTTCATGGATGCTTGAAGGAGTTTTGCTTTCCAGATATTAATCTTATCTTGCATTCCCCAAAGTTTCTCAGAAAGTCTTATCATTACTTCTCTTCCTGGAGCGAATTGTGATCTGCCTTCAAACAGTTAGGCTTGCTCTCACCCTTCATTTCACCCCCCCTCCCCCCTTCCCGTT